GACTGCAAAAATGCTCCACACATGCTTCTAATTGATTAAATACTAGACAAAGACCAAAATCAAGCCAACAAACGACAACTGCTGAAATGAAAAAGTCATGCCAAGTTGCTCCATGTCAGAGTGCTTAAAACTAGATATCAAATTTTACTCTGATTTTCCTCACGCTGTAAAAGTGATGCAGAAATTTCTCCCAGACAGATGGCCTGTCTGTCACGTTACATCCTAATGACCTGAAGAACACTGCTCAGACAAACTGGAGCTGACAGCAGAATTACTCCCTGCATCCTCGTCTGCTATCAGCTCCTCGTTAATTAGCCACCCGTCACTCTGTTCTCGCTTAGATGCCAGCCCACCGCCAACACCAGTGATGTGGTCTCAAATCCATCCATCCATTTTCTATACTGCTTATCCTTCACAGGGTCACGGGGGAGCCAGGAGCCTATCCCAGGGAACTCTGGGCACAAGGGGAGACGACAGGGTGCCTACCCATTACAGGGCACAATCACACACACATTCACACATGATGGATAATTTGAACATGCCAATCAGTATACAACACATGTGTTTGGACTGGGGGAGGAAGCTAGAGTACTCAGAGGAAACTCCCGAAGCACGGGGAGAACATGCAAACTCCACGCACACAGGGCGGAGACAGGATTCAAACCCCCAACCCCAGACGTGTGAGGTAAACGTGCCACCATGCACGTTTAGTCCCCCCTCCATAAGTCTCCATCTGCCCATCCCTCCCATTTTTCCCCAACTCGGTCACCCGACAATTCATACCCACTACCTAGCTCTCCCCGATCACAGAACAGCTACAAGCTGGGGAGAGTAACATGTGCTTCCTCTGAGATATTTGAAGCCAGCCACACAAATGTTTTTTCGAGCTACTGCTCATGCGGCATGACGGGGCACACAGAGGAAAGAGCTATCTTCCCTCTGTCCTCATACATGAATTCACAAACACTTGTGATTGGGTGTTGTGTCGTGGTGACTGACAGCGGAGAGAGACTATGATATACCCCCCACTCCGTTTTGCACCCTTGTTTTCCGGTATCGTAGCGATTCGAACTCTGTAACTAGTGCTCTCTGGTGCCACTAATCCCACTTAAATACTGTAAGTCTCATATAGAGAAGAAGGTCTGGCATTGGCTATGCAACTGTCTGTATGAGAATTAAAACTGAAGTCTGAGAACACAAATTGCATTTCAGATTTAATAAATATTTCCAGGTTTCTTATTAGAAGAAGCAATTTAATTTTTGTGTGCAGAAGCAGCAGCTACTTGGGCAGCACAGTTAACACACTCACTGCGCATCTTAAGTACACCCATAAGTTATAAAAGCAACATTAATTGGATAGCACATCAGAGCCAAAACTGCACAGTCCTCCAGGTTTCCAAATGGAACTGTAAAATGTTTAGTGATCTCTTGCATAGCGATGTTAAACACACTGACGAGCTTGATTTCTCTTCAAGACTTTCCACTGCCATCATGGGCTTGGCTCGAATTGAAACTTCTGACTTTACATTTAAAAGTATTTACTAATCTAGAAAATCCAGAAGACTGGTACGCAAAACAGTGCTTTCGGAAGGTTTAAAGGCTACATTAAGGTTTTTGTACATTTAACCACTAACTGTAATAGGAATACAGTTAGTATTATTACTTAATAATAGTCTAGAATAGTACATACGTATGCAACTTGAGACACAATGCTAGTTTGTTTAGCGAAGGTAGATGGACATATTTACTGCTGGACTATGCCTATGTATGTGCAGAGTGTCAGGATAGTTAAAAATACTAAAATAACGTGCGCTATTAATTTAATTGTGGCTTGTCTGAACGTGATGCAAGCAAGATTTGAGAATATTAGCAAGCAAACTACATCTTTGATATTTCAAATATTAATCTGTAAAATAAATGAATGAAACAAAAGAGATTGTGAGTTGCTCTAGGACCCCATTTGTAAATCAAGTGACCCTATGTGGGGTAGAAACCCCTAATTTGGGTGTTTGGCTGTGTGTTGTCAGCATAGCCATGAAGGTTGAAACCATACTCATTAATAAGCAACTCTGAGGAAAATTAAAGCTGCTCCAACATAGACCACTGAGGTACTTACGAAAAATAAACTCTTCATTTTTAAAATAAAAGAAGCTAACAAAGAATTGGTTATGCATTTTTAAAATCTGGATTCAGACAAAATGTCTTATGTTGAACAAAAACATAATCAGTGTTATGATTAGGGCTGTCCTGTTTACTCATAACATGACACATTAGTTACACATTTGCACCGTTCTTATCTGTCTATCTCCAGAGCCTTGAAATTCATGGAGTGACTATTTGTGGCAGTTGATGTCTTCAACCGAATTACTAACCCTTCTGTATATTTTTAGCTAGTTCCCAAAAAAGGACCGGGTGAACGAAAATTACAGTTCCCAGTTCAGCTCAGACTGCTTCAAGCTATCTCTCTAAAAAAAGAACACAAGCGTTCACTGCGCAAGCTGTCATACAGTTCCGTGGTTGCTAAAACCGCAGACAAGCTGTACCTGTGACTACTAGTCACTGTTACACACCAGCACTCCTATGTGTCATACAGTAACACTTGATGTGTGAGTCATAAGCAAGTTCCTCATTTTCATTTAGAAACACCCAAAACAGTAGCTCATATACAGTATAATGACTTTGACAAGTAATCATGAAAGGTACGATATAGATCAAAAATTTTTTTTGTAAATATAAAAACTATAGAAATCCCCCCCATAAACCCCCAAAAGACAGCTTTTTAAAATGGCTTATGGTTGTACATCTTGATGAGTAAGCTTAATGTACATCTCCAAACATGTTAAACACTGTAAGAAACGTAAGCAGTTCTTTTGCTTTTTGTTCATGGGACCATGTGTTTGAAGATCGTAACCATAAGTGTGACGCATATCCAGTTAATATGAAGGGGCTGTTTTGTACTGGCGGTAACTTGTCTATGCTGTTTTTGGGTAAGACACTGAACAGTGAATATTACAAAAACCCAGATTAAAGAAAACAAAAACATAAATCAGCATCTTGGCATTGTATAGCATGAGGTAAGGTCTGTAGCTCACAATGTGTCTAAAGAGAAGAAAATGCTGTTTAAGTAACACTGTCAATATGAGAATTAAAAATGAGGTAAGAATCAAGAATAACAGCCATGCTTTGCAATTCAAAATGACTAACTATTTCCAGGGTTCTTTTTTTTTTTGGTCTTGTGTTGTTGTTTTCAATAGTCAATTTGTGCCCTCATATTTCTAGGAAATCATGATGTTTTTAACAACACTCATTCAATTAGATGCAACAGGTCTAAAGCTGTGTCTTGCCTGAATAAACATTAAGGTGGACCCCATGTACGTTAATAAATTGCAAATAATAGGAAAATAAAAGCGGCCCACGCATAGACCCTTGAGGTACTCCATAAAAAAAAAAAAGCTCATGTTTTACATTTACATATCTGCCAAGGGGAAGAAAACACTGTTTATTGGTTAGGAATATGTAAAAATCAAACCGGTTTTAAAGTCTGTGTAACATTATATTAGATCTGTACAGTCACAACACTAAAGGTCTTTTATTGTGGACAGTACTCCAATAATTTATTAATCAAATAAATGCTGGATTAATGATAATTATGAGATTTAATACACAGTTGATAGCAAAGAGTTTTTATTTGCATGATCAGTAAAAATATTGCAGTGCCCCTATAATAGAGGCCACTAGAATTTCTAAGGATTCTATGGTATACTGTTTAGTTTTTCTCTCAATCTTCTGAGAGACAGCCAAGTGAAACAGGATATATTCTGAAAAGAAAAAAATGTATGGCTGAACTTTCATCTCAACCAGCAGGATTTGATTGTATTGTAAAAAGTGGGCATTCAAAAAAAAAAATAATAATAAAAATAAAAAAAATATATATATTTTATATGTCATGATATTACTGCAAACACCAGAAGATGGTTAAATGTGGGACAAAGACACTGATGGAAAACCAAGATTTAAAAAAAAATCATTTTAGTATTTATTATATATATTAATACTTCAGAGATTCTTGGAGATTAAATATCTACTTTTATAAGTTTAACCTGTGGCATGCTATTTAAAAGGAAGAGAATGCAAAATATTATGGTTCAACCTGTTAGCATAAAACTTGGAAATTAAAAGAACCTCATCATTGCTAGTGACATGCGAGCTTTGGTGGCTGATAATTCATATTGGTATTTATGGCTGACTCTACAAAAGGAGTGCTAGGGTAACAATCAAATAATTGATTAATAAACAATAATCTTTGTTTTGTTGTGGCTGTGTTTTTTTTTTAACAGTAGCGTAGCCAGGAATTAATTTCCAAGGGAAGATGTGGAAATATACTAAGTAAAATCACAATATGATCAGTGTGATTAAATTGACAATTGCAACAAGCTCTTTGCATTTTGGGAATGCCAGACAGTAGTAGAAGTAGTGATGGCATAAATTTGTCATTTCATCATTTAAAGCATCCCCATCAACCAGTCTTGCATATATATAAATTTGCTATAAAACACATTTTATGAAATTTCCATTGAAATGGATACAAATAACATCTTATAAACCAGTCTTCTTCTTCTTGTACAGAAATGCTCAGAGTGTATCCAGTTGGATAGTAGCTTTCAAAAAGAAACAGGAAAAATGCATGATCCTAACTGGTTAATAATGTTTCTCACCATAGTAGCTGGTAGCCAATAAGGAGGAATCGTAATAATGATGTCACTGACAACTGACTGAACTGACACACTGACTGAACTTGCGTTATCTTGCAATCACTGTGCAAAACAATGTCATTTGACATGGGGGTTTCTGTTTCCTCGGTTAAACATAGCAAAATACTAATTTTATATTCAGTAAAGACAGCAGAGCTAACAAATTTTAAACATGAAATCCATTTTTCATGTTTAATTTTATAAGCTCTGAGTTAAGCAAAAAGCAAATCACTAAGAACAAGCAGAGTGGGCAGAGGTGGCTCAATGGTTAAGGCTCTGAGTTACTGATCAGAAGGTTGTGGGTTCAAGCCCCAGCAACGCCAAGCTGCTACTGTTGGCCTCTTGAGCAAGGCCCTTAACTCTCTGCCCCGGGGTGCCATATCATGGTGTGACGCTCTGACCAAAACTTCCAAACAAGCTGGGATAGGCAAAGAAAAGAATTTCGCTGTAATGTATATGTGACAAATAAAGGCTTATTCTTCTTCAACTGGAGAACAAGGGTGACGATGACATCACTGTGAGGTGAACATGCCACACTTGTTAACAGAGGTCACATGATAGCACAGTCCGTTTCTGGCCTAATCTAGACACATTACTGACACTATTGTAGAAACTCACAGTTAAGCTTGCAAATAAAAAAAACTTGAATATTTGATCATTTGTCCTTTAGAAATTTAGTTGACACATACACTAAATTCTTCACTGAAGAATGTATTTACGCTTGTTTTTCAGCTTGGTCGCTCCTGAGGACCTTGGCTCATTTGTTGGTTTTAAGTTGAAGTCTAGCAGCAAGGAGGGCGAGGCGTCCTGCTACCACTAGAGAGCCATGATGTCATGTGGAGCAGAAGAAAAGTCTCCAGAGCATTACACAACTGGGAGGATGTGCAAGCTGAAGGGAGGAGGAATGCTATCAGGGAGACTCTAAATGATGACAAAGTCTGCATTCTTCACACAGGGGCCTTGGGCCAGAGTGGAAAGTCCAAATTTAGCTGAGGATAGAATGGAAAGATCTCTTATCAGGAAATGAGTGTGGGGTTACATCAACAGTGCAGTGTGTGTCAGTGGCAGCTAATGCATGCATGTGTGCACAAGTGTGTATTCCTGTTTTGCTGTACTTTTCCTGGAATTCACTGAAAGATTTGTTTGACTTCCTAACAATGTTGCTGTGATACAACTGCAGCTTTAAGAGGCAGGTAAACAAGAAGTTGCAAAATATGGTATTTTATCTTACTTTTTTCTTATGTATTCTCATTAATAATTTACAGCCCTAAAATGTAATCTGCTGAGCTCCAAATAGCTTTGTTTTTTTTTTTTTTTTTTTTACATAAAGACGTATACACAACCTAAACTTCAATGCAAAGGCTTTCAAATATACAAGAACTGAGCTTGTTTCTACAAAAAGAATTCTAAAGAAGTGGGGAGCCAGGACAGCTTGCTGCTATACTGAAGCAAAGCCAAGTTTTCTTCTGCAGAAGAAAGGCAAGAGGCCGATTAACACAGTGATTTCACCCTTCTATATGCCCTAGAAAGTGGAAAAAGGGCCAGTGTATGCTCACACAGCTCCCTACCTGCTGGAATTTTCATGAAAGGCAGTTGCACAGGAAAAGAGCCAAATTTGGCAAAATGGAGAAAAATGGAAGCGCTCTGAACGTAAAAGAAGAAAGCAGTGGAAAAGAGAGGAGTGCGGTGGGTTCACGTCATGCCGAAAGAATTTGGCAGCACCAGCTGCTCTGACATTTATTTAGTTCTTTATTTAGTTTCTGGGAATTGACATAGGACATATAATTTGAGGCCAATGAGCGTGCAGAGAAAAAACGAAAAAACCCAAGAAAACACAAGGGCAAATATAGTGCGAGGACTGGACATTTCTGTACACCACTAACTGCATGCAGCCCGTGTGTGTCTTAGTGTGTGTGTGTAAATGTATGCATGAAGAAGAAAAGCTCTATGCACAGATCGAATTGAAAGGTCATGTACCCTTTGACCTTTGCAGACTTTTAGGCAGACTGAGTGAAAGTGTATAAGGAAAACCAGCTGAGAACACTCTAGTGCACAAACTGGCCATCAGGCGCCAGATGTGATGACCACAGAGGCCTGGACTAAAAATAGAGCAGTGTTTTCGGCACAGAAAGAGAGAGTGAGTGTGTGTGTTCACAATAACACAGCATGAGCTCCTCTCGGGAGCTTACCTCACCACCCTAATGGCACCAGTGGCTCCTTCTCAATGAAATCATTGAACGGACCACACAGCACTGGGGCAGTAATGGATACTGGCTTACGCAGACACAGGAAGTCAGGGAGAGAGACAGAGGTCTAGTAGCTTCCCTTCTAACAAGAGCACTTGAGCAAAGCTCTAAAGCCCAAACTGGATCAGGGATCCCAATACTGAGATAATTTACTTCAACTAAATCATGCTGCATTATTGTTAAAATCATACCTGATACAGTCATAAGCTACTCAAAACTGCCTAAAATAACTAAAGGACACAGATCAATGCCTAAAACAACATCTGTTGTAAAGCTTTTCCCCCCACTGCATAAATTACCAGAACTTCTGGCACCTGAAAGCATAACCCATTATTTTTGATTGGCCACCAACAGAAGCTAATGCACTTGTGTGTAAGGCTAGCAGTGGTGCTCCTTGCTGATAGCGATTCAGTATCACTAACCATGCAACACAGAATTTAAAAAACAAACAAACAAAAAAAACAACAAGACAGAATAAGAAAGAAAAAAACACAACTCATTATTAGGATCATTACTGCTGTTTGTGCCGTAAAAATGCTATAAAAGTTCTCAAAGTTTGCTTCTCAAGCTGAGAAAATGATTCATTTTTAAAGATTTGCATAGCATACATACACAACAGTGGGTTTCTTTTGGATTTTATCATATTCTTATTATATTTTTCTTATTACTATTTCATCTTTCGGAATGAATTTTTCTACCATTTTAAATGGTGGCTAAACGCACAGCTGTGAGAGTTTCAGTGATAAACAGTCCCCGCTCTGTAGGACTGGTCTGAGAAATTCTCATTTGCATATAATTGATAAATCTCTGTCTAAATGTCACTTGTTTCCTTTGTACTCACCCCTGCCTCTGCGTCACACATTTACATAGAAGTCGCCTGTTGCTTTGTCGCTTGCTAGTGTGAAAGCAGGGTTACTGTAGATGTTGCAAGTGATCTAGTTGTTTCTTAAGTTGGTGGAAAATAAACAGCCCCAGGATCTGCTGGTTCCTGTTTGGGCCTGTTCTTGTTTTTTGAATGTGCTGTGATGTAACACCTACGTATAAAGGGTACACTTGACACACAGTGACCTGGATACTGTGGCATAAAAAGTCTGTTATTATTCATATTGTTTTACAGAGTATCACCACAGAGTCACCTCATGTGCAAAACGCACACAGTTAAACTAGAAACAGCGTGTTAAAGGTGTCGTGGAATGACACAAAATTGCATTCAAAATAAAAAGAGAAGAGTGAAAGACAGAGAGGGAGGAGAAAAATAAAATAACGGTCCAGATTTAACGCTGTGAATATCTGCTTTCAACTTGAATCATATATAATCTCCAGTCATCTCTCCATGTCATCATCTTCCTTCTGCTAACCATTAAGTGGGTAATGATAAGGGGTCACATCAGGAGGATCTGCTGAAATGCAAAAACATCGCAAACCCTGCTGCAGACCGAATGCGACACAGGCACAAGAGTCAAATACAGTAGCCATACAACACTATATATGACAATGCTGCCAAAGGCTAGTTAAATGTGACACACACACACACACACACACACACACACTGTACACATACACACTGGGCACACACACTGTACAAATATACACACTGTATACACACACACACACACACACACACACACACACACACACCCCAGCAGAGTCCAGCTCCTGCTGTCCAGGACATAAACACAGGCAGCTGGTAAAAGAGTGGTGGAGATTAAAAACAGTCAATGCACATCTGTAGAATATAGACACCTACAGTTCCAGAGACAAACAGAACCACACACACACACACAGGACGTCTATGGAAGGTCACATAGATTTAATTAAATTCCTTCTGGGCAAGATGTGATAGTATAAGACTGTGATCTCCAGTGTGCACATATGAGTATGGATGGTGAGTATGGATATGCATTCATGTGTGTTTGGGTGTGTGTGTGTATGTGTGTGTGTGTGTGTGTGTGTGTGTGTCCATTATTACTACATTGTAAAAACAACAAAAAGCGCAACATGGGAGATACATTCCAGCAGCAGCAGCAGTTTAAAAAAGAAGTTTTATCCGTCAGGCAGGAAATAACATGCCAATTCCGCAGTCAGTTTTACTGTGACTAGTTACTAGCTTGAGAGGAGAGTTCAGCTACTCAGGCTTCACAAGACCTCAACTGCAGCCAAAGTGCACAACTGGAAACCGTCAGTGCTGTCAAAAATTTTATGTCAACATTTAGTCTGCAATTTATCACCTTCAAGTCAAACATAAAATGTAAAGTCAAGTTACACTGCAATTAGATACATGCAAGTTAAACTCATCTGCAATATTTAGATACACACAAGTCATTCTAAAACAAAATGTACTTTTAATTCATAGGGTTTTTTTTTTTACTTAAAATGAAACAGTTTCACCGAACAAGTAGCTTTCATTTCAAACACAGGAGAAGCAGCAATGAGCTCTACCTATTTGTGAACTTATTAGAGAAAGACAAGTTTCCTTAAAGCTCCCATAAAGGTGCTTGAGAAGATGCAATTTAAAGGAATTTAAATATACACTAGTCTTGATTTATTTAAGTTTTCAAACCTTCTTCATCTCCTAATCTCGTTGCAAGACATTGTGCTTTGGGTGGGGTTTGACATAACTTACAGTACACTGTAAGAAGTTTCAGTTTAGTGTAGTGTAATGCAGAAGTGCAATCTTATCTAAACAACCACTGGCGGAATAAAAGCAAGCCAGCAGCTCCCTGATATGGTGAATGTTTACCAGCTTTTGGCTTCTGATGAGCCGTTTTGTTTATTAGCTCTCTCATCATGCCGTCTCCAGGCATTATGACATTATTACACCTGCCGGTGTTCAGTGTGTGTCCAACCCACATACATAAAAGGGTTTGTGTTTTAATCCTATTTCTTGCATATGTATGTACACTAGGAATGTAAATATACATCCAAATATACATAAATGAGTCCATTTAAACAGATAATGTTCTTCAATTCAAGAGGAAAACAGATTCACCACTTTGTCTATATTCTAATATACTAATGAAGATTATGACCAGTCCAGCAGGAGGTAGCTGCTCCCAGACTCCACACAGGATAATTCA